CTATTTTTGTTCATCAGTTAATTTGGTCCATTAACAATGCAGACTGGTGGAGCCATTATGGAAAACAGTACAGAGTTTCCTCAAAAAATTAAAAATGGAACTCCTATCTGACCCAGTGATCCCACTTCTAGGAATACATCCGAAGAAACCCAAAAACTCATCAGAGAGAATGCATGCACACCTATGCTCATAAAAGTGCAATTTAGAACAGCTAAACTTTGGAAACAAGCTAAGTGCACGACGGCAGATGATTGAATAAAAAAAACGTGGTACATCTACCCCATGAATGCTATGCAGCTGTGAAAAAGGAAGAACTCTTACCATTTGCAACAGCAGGGGTATGTCTGACAAGGGGTTAATCTCCAAAATCTATAGGGACTACTACAACTTAACAAAAGGAAGACAACAACACAATTGAAAAATGGGCAAAGGGCCTCATAGGAAAGTCTCCAAAGCGGACACACAGATAGCCAAGATGTGCTCTCCTGAGGGTGGTCAGGCTGATGTCAACTCGCTCTCCTTCACCTGCATAGGCCATGTTGCCTTTCTGGGGTTTGGGAATAAGAATTTGCACTGGAAGATGCTTTTATTTTGTAGCAGAAAGATTCTCTTTGTTGTTTCCCTAGTCAGATCTTTCACATAACTGAAACCTCTACATGTGAGGAGGCAGGAGAGGCTGGGCTGGACTCTCTGGCTACAGCCTCTGTCTCTAATCTGCTATCCCTGTCACAAGCACGCAGCTGCCTCCTGAAATGGGTCCTGTCAGTCACTGAGTTTTGTCAGATTTATGACAGACCCCCCCTTTTGTTCATAAATAAAATCCCTAAAATACACATAGGACAGGGATTTCTGTGAGCTCTGTAGCTGAGCCTCTGAGCAAAACTATTTTAAGATGGAGCAGGAAATGATATCTTTCCTCAACTCTCCACCTGCTCCTGGTCCTGACCCCTTCCTGGTTCTGAGCGCCCACTGGAGTTCAGGACGCAGCTGGTGGGGCTCAGTGGTTGGTGCATCAGTGCCAACACCAAGGGGTGCGAACTCTTTAGAACTAACTCACCCTGCCCAGGTGGCAGGTTTTTAATAGTTGTGTGAACTTCCCACTCCACATGAAGAAAACAGGTGTATGAATGCTTGTTGTAAATGAAGAAAAGACAATATTTTGGTGTAATCTGGTTCTTGGATGTATCTCTGGAGATGGAGGTTCAGCTCTTGAGGGATGGCCTATAGTTAGTGTTTCCATTATGACTTATGTCCCCCATCCACTCCAGCCCCTTCCCCAGGGGCTGGCTTATCCAGATCCAATAGGAACCACTGGTTGTGATGGAGAGAGAATAACCATTTGCAGCTGCGTTTGTGCATTTCAAGTTTAGGAGGGAAGGTGAGGAGTAACATGGAGGTGGGAGAGAGAAAGACTGGGACTGGATGCCATGACAGTGTACACGAATGAGGGAGAGGGTCTGCGAGGGTTTCACCAGTCCCGGGCCCGAATCCTGCAGCTGCACCGGGGACAGGACACCTGCAACAGAGACACCAGTCCTGGGCCCTACTCCTGCAGCTGTACCTGGGACAGGACACCTGGGACAGAGAGAACACAGTGAGTCCTGGGCTCAGATGCAGGATTCCTATCTCCTCAACTCTAAGCCCCTGAGTCACTCACATCTGGGAGCTGACAGCAGGAAGAGGAAGAGCCACATGGGAGTCATGTCTAGCAGGTGAGGTCCTCGTCCTCCCCAGGCCCCCACCACCCCATTGTCTGTGTCCACTGGATAGGCATATATACAACATGTTCATTGGTTGATCTCCTCCCACCCACCCTCTCCTACCTTCCCTCTGAGGTTACATGGTCTTTTCATGCTTCTATGTCTCTGAGTCTATTTTTGTTCATCAGTTAATTTGGTCCATTAACAATGCAGACTGGTGGAGCCATTATGGAAAACAGTACAGAGTTTCCTCAAAAAATTAAAAATGGAACTCCTATCTGACCCAGTGATCCCACTTCTAGGAATACATCCGAAGAAACCCAAAAACTCATCAAGAGAATGCAAGCTGACAGCTCTTCTGGGGATCAATGTGGCCCCAGAGAGGATGGGTGAGGTCCACCAGCCCTGAGTGAGCTCAGGCCTTTCAGCAGAGGGAGGGCCTATGATCTCCCTGGACCAGGACAGGGAGGGCACATGGAGAGGCAGACACTGAGGGAGCTGTGACCCCCAGGGAGGGAGGCAGAGCTGTGCACACAGCCCAATCGCAGCAACCCAGCTGCAGAGTTCACACTCATCAGCGAAACATTGAAAAGAGAGTAAAAAAGTCACTTTCAGAATTTGTGAAGGAGCCTTCGTGAAGGAGAGTCCCCGTCACTGCCGACATGTCACCTGCAAATACAATGTCCCTTCTTCACTGTTGTCTGCGGTGAGAACATGAGAAGGAAGAGCCATCCCTGGAGGCAGCTGAGAGCTTGAGAGGAAATCCCTGTGCCCAATAGGAAGGCCTTTCCCCCCCACCTCCCTCTGCCCCTGCTCCTGGGGCTGCACTCTGTGCTGTGGGTCCAGAGCACCCCCTGGAGACTGGGGTGCCCCTTGCAGCCCAGCCCTGCTGTCTGCTCAGGGAGGTTAGTGTCTGGGCTCACACTGACTTCCCCTCACTGTGTCTCACACAGTAATACATGGCCGTGTCCTAGGTTGTCACGGAGCTCAGCTGCAGGGAGAACTGGTTCCTGGCCCTGTCAGCAGTGATGGAGATGCGGCCCTGGAAGGCTGGGTTATAACTTGTGCTCCCTGACCAGTACCCCATCCACTGCAACCCTTTCCCTGGGGCCTGGCGTATCCAGTTCCAGTAGTCACTGATGGTGACTGAGCCTCTGGACACAGTGCAGGTGAAGGAGAGGGTCTGTGAGGGCTTCACCAATCCTGGACCCGACTCTTGCAGCTGCACCTGGGACAGGACACCTTCTCCAGGGTCAGGAGGCCCTGCATTTAAGTGGGCGCTCACTGTGTGTGTGTCTGGTGGCCGTGTGGGCATTTGCATATGGGAGGTGTCTGCACATACAAAGGGCAAGAGGTGAGGGCAGTCCCGGTCTGTGGGGCTTCTCCTGGAAGAGGTGCTGACTGTGCCTCAGAGAACCAGGCCCTCCTTGGGGTTCTGGTCACCGCGCCCTGGGACCTCTCCTTCCACACCAGGGTTTATGCTGCAGGAGATGGTCAGTAAGTAGGATGTGGGCACAAACAGTGACTCCTGGGCCTGTCCACCACGATGCTCTGAAGCTCACGGGCCCCTGGAGATTCCCTCAGCACAGGTGTTAGCTGTTGGAAGTACTCCTAGGTTAATGCTCAGCTGTGTCTCCACCTGACACAGGAGGGACCTGCATAGACTGACATCATACCTGGACACTGCATGTGGGTTCAGTAGGGCAGCTGAGGTCACTTCATGCCGTCTGAGTAGATAAGGCCTGTTTCAGGCCAACTGAGTGGCCCTTGCCCTGGTGTCTCAGGGAGGGCCTGGTACAAGAGATGGGCATGAAGGGATGACGTGGGGCTGCATTTAAGACAAAATCTACCAAGTGGGAAGGAGAGGGCAGAGCACAACTGCATGGGATTCCTATACAGGCCCCATGGATGAGAGTGTGGGTGGCAGAGGACAGAGGGTGAGGGTGGGATGGTGTCTGCGGAGGTGGAGGCACAGCAGAGGTGGGTGGGACCATGTCTCCCTTCAGCAGGTTCTCAGGATGCAGGTGGTTCCCCAGGGGAAGCGGGACAGGTGTTGGGACACGTCTCCTGGGACCAGGTTCTGAGACCCACAGGGAAGAGGGCACATCAGGGCTGTGACAGGGCCCATCATTGGACCTCCAAGGCACACAGAGAGGCAGCGCCCACAGAGGTCAGACCCTAAACTTCCATAAGCAGCCATGTCAGTGAGGAGCAATCAGTTAACTGCCACCAAAGGGCTCCTCCAGCAGTACAGCAAGGGCTGATCACCCTCAGGTGAAGTTTGGGGCCTGGACTCCGTGTGCCTCTCTCAGCACTGCATGGAAGGTGGGGGACATCACTCTCAGTGAGTGGACAGCAATCTCTACAATGAATCCCCAAACATCAGGGACCTAGTGACAGGAAGGCTCCAGGTGAGAAGTCAACCAGATCTGAAACACAGACACTTCTTGCTTTTTCCTGCAGAGAATTTAATTAAAGACACAAAGAAGGAAGCAGGCCCTGCCCCAGGGATGCTAGGAATGAAGAAAACATTGACCCCAATAGGAAGCCTGCACAACCCTCCAGGGACAGCAGCTGAGCTGGGACCCTGGGTTTGCTGGTCCTGAGTGCTCCCTGGTGTCCTGGATGCTCCCTGTAGCCCAGCCCAGCTGTCTCCTCAGGGAGGTTTGTGTCTGGGCTCACACTGACTTCCCCTCACTGTGCCTCTTGCACAGTAATACATGGCCATGTCCTCAGTGGTCACGGAGCTCAGCTGCAGGGAGAACTGGTTCTTGGACGTATCTCTGGTGATGGAGGTTCGGCTCTTGAAGGAGGGGCTGTAGTTAGTGCTCCCATCATAACATATAATTGCAATCCACTCCAGCCTCTTCCCTGGGGGCTGGCGGATCCAATGCCAGCAGTAACCACTGGTTGTGATGGAGAATCCAGAGACAGAACAAGTGAGGGAGAGGGTCTGCGAGGGCTTCACCAGTCCTGGGCCCGACTCCTGCAGCTGCACCTGGGACAGGACACCTGCGACAGAGAGAACACAGTGAGTCCTGGGCTCAGATGCAGGATCCCCATCTCCTCACGTCTAAGCCCTGAGTCACTCACATGTGGGAGCTGACAGCAGGAAGAGGAAGAGCCACATGGGAGTCATGTCTTGCAGGCGAGGTCCTGGTCCCCCAGAAAGTATTCTCCAGAGTGAGGAGGTCATGCATTTAAGTGGATGCTAACTGTGTGTGTGTGTGTCTGGTGGCCATGTGGGCATTTGCATATGGGAGGTGTCTGCACATACAAAGCGCACGAGGTGAAGGAGGTCCTGGTCTCTGGGGCTTCTCCTAGAAGGAGGTGCTGAATGTGCTCTCAGAGAACCAGGCCCTCCTTGTGGTCCTAGTCACTGTGCCCAGGGACCTCTTCTTCCACAGCAGGGACTATGGTGCAGGAGGTGGTCAGGAAGTAGGATGTGGAAACAATCAGTGACTCCTTAGGGATAAAACCAATGAGGCTCTGTTTCCATGAATATAGATAGATATAGATATATAGATATAGATAGAGA